TTCTACAGAGTCTCCTCTGACACTCTGATCCACCTCCACACCTTCAAAACCACATTCACTGAACTTCTTTATCCTGGATTTAGGTTAAATCCTGGTTCCTCAGTGTCCCTGTACTGAGTGGAGTGTAAAGAGTGTCTGCTGTCAGAGAAACACTGACTGTTGAACAGGTAGTTCAGTCTGTACATGTCTGTCTCTTTCACTCAGAAACATATTTTCAGATTCATGGATTCAATCAGTTGATGTTTTAAACTGTTCTGAATGATTCCTTGTAAACTTCTTCCTCTCCAGTCCTTTAAAGATGTAAACTCCCATTATTCCAGGATCCACATGTTGTTTTTCTGTCTTTTTCCACTCAACGCTGCACAGTGAATACCAGTATGTTGTGTTTCTCTGAAGCTCAGTTCACAACCAGCTCCTCTGCATTTTCATCCCATTAAGAAAGAGAAATCAAACATTTGGATTCATTTTAATGAGCTCAGACTTGTTTCCATCATGGCTGAATAAGTGGACATCCAATAGTACTCAGTGTATCAAATATTAAAGATTTTTAGCATCTCTCCTGTTTTTGTCATTCTATAAAAACAGCTGCTTTAAAAACCGATCCAATCAAAGAAACATGAACTTCCATATTGATCAGATCAATACGTACAGCTCTGATGTCACTAACATCTCCTTGAACTCTTCATTGATGGTGATTTGTGGTCCTCTGCTGGTGAGAAGATGAACTGTATGATGTCAGTTTAATGAGCACAGATGAGATGAAGTGTTTTTAAATCTGCTTTTTCTAATTGTTCAGGGTCCTCCTCCAGGAAACAGCTTCAACAAACTCTGGCTTTCAAAATAAGACCTCAGTCTGAGTTTTTAAAAAAGCTCTTACTTAGAAAGGAATTGAAAATTAATATTCATGTTATCAGTCCATCAATGGGTGTTATTAGCAGTTATCAGCTTCATAGCTGTGGCTGAGATTGGCCCTCCTGCACCTGCTAGCAGGCTCAGTAGGTCATTATCACCAATTGGTTAGCCGGATCGCTGTTGGAGGGACGATGATGAATCCAGATCCAGTACAGACAGACTCCACTTCACACTGAGATGGGCGCATAGCAGCTAATGTTACACCCCTGAAAACGGGGAAAGAATCACGAGAGTGATTTTGACTTGCATCTCTCATGCAGTTCTTTATTGCAATCAAAATGAACATAAATGTTTCACATTCTGTATTGCTTAATGTCACATGGTGGAAGGAAAAGCTAAATAATAAACCAAAATGATAAAGTGTTTACTATACATATACCTGAACAAATTTCCTGACAAAATGGTTGACAATAGCAACGTTTCTAGCTCCTGCCGTTAGCTCAATGGACATTATACAGTACCAAACTGAGGCTCAAAACCACCGTGTCTCTGTGCACAAAACGACTGTGATATAATGCTTCTAAAGCTTACAAAACAATGAAGGGTTACCTATTAAATATCTTAACAATGTACAGATTGCCTATATATGAACTTTTAAACACCTTTACCTGAAAACAGGGGGAAAAGAATCACAAGAGTGATTTTGACTTGCGTCTCTCATGTAGTTGTTTATTGCAATGAGGAGAGCGCGCGAAAGCCCCCTAGTGGAGAATAGTGACACTACTAATCGATCCCAGAAAAGGCTTTCTAACCGATCAGTGATGTATAGGTCACAGTTCTCTTAAATAAAATGAAAGCCATTAATATAACATGAAAAATAATAACCTCTTAACCATTTTCTTACCATATTTACATAATTTTTTCTGTATATCAACTAATATGAATTAGTATTAACTGAACCCTTTTATATTCAGTAATCCTTCAACATGTCACACTAACTACTGAAAAATGTCTATTTAATCAATTTGAATATGATTTCCTCATGAACAGAAACAGATTTCATAATGAAAAGGCTTCTGAACGTCACTCTTATGCCACAACCATCATCTGTATGATGGAAGTTGAGCCTGGAAATAGTTTTTTGCTAGTATATTACTTTAGCTGACGCTAACTTCAAAG